GGCGATAGAAGGAAATTGAAACAGGAGATGGGCAGCAGCACTTTACTGATAATAACTCAAATTGTAAAAACACCTGCGGTTGCCAACCTGACTGCCAAGCGTGGGAGCTGTGGCAAAATCCCCCTAAGAGGAAATCTTTGATTGAGGCCTATGTTCAGCAGTGGGCTTTTATAGGCTGTAATGGATGGATAGATAGGTTATGTGGGAGCATGGTTATTCCCCAGTTGAGCCGACCCATTCATCTTATTGCCACAATATAGAAGCATAGTTCGACCACGCAAAAAGTTGGTAAAGTACTAGGTCGCGGTTTGAGTGGTGAAAGAGTTTGATATTATTGAATATTGTGATGCAATTTATCACAGTCCCCAGGAGTTAAAGAACAGCTCTAAATATCTTCGTTTGTTTGGAATGTTCTTATACTACAGAGGGGCAGTAAAATGTTCACTCAGAGAAACCATGGTAGAGCGGATAAATGCGACCTCTACTTGTCTCACCTCATTGTGACAACAATCTGGTCACCTCTAACACTGCCAAAATGCAAGCCTGTCTATTTTCCGTAAAATGGGCTCCATTTGATCTGACTCCTACGTTCAGAGGTACATCTGTAGAGGTTACTAATCATCTAGAGCTTCTCGGCATACTACTGAATGCTAACCTCAACTTTGGCGCTAACATTAAGCCGGAAGCATAAACTTCGGCCAAAAAACTGAGGTGAAGCGATACATCATGCCAGGACAGCTTCTTTTAACTTTATGTAAAACTAAAGTCCGAACATGCATGAAGTATTGTAGGCAACTTTGGGATGACTCAGCAAAATATCATCTTGGCGCACTCTATTCAGTGTAACGCAGATTCAAGAGGATTATCGACGACAAAAAACAAGTTGATTATGATGTTGATGCTTTTTGATGATCAACATCATCATCAACTTATTACTACGTTCATACACGGTAATAAATCATAAAAAGTTTAAGTTGTTCATAGACTAAGTAATTTTGTGTTGATGTCAGAACAATGAGAAATAAATCTTACCAATGTTACTTTTCTCAACGCGTGGGAGTTCGAAATGTTTGCATTTGAATAATATATTAAGTTTATCAAAAAATTGTTATGTACTTTATTTCACTTGAATTAAAAGAAAAAAAAACGCGTGCTGTTTAACTTTAAACTAGAATTTTATTTAAATTTGAATAAAATACGTTGAAACATCGTAAAGAAACCTTTTTTTATAAGCCGGTATTTGATCACAATCCCACCTGGTGGTATGCAGCCTTAGATGGTATCCCGCACTGTCTTAGCGCAACAAATGCCTACTCACTCTTGCCTTGAAGACGTCCAGATTGTACTCGGACGGAAAGATAGACGCCGTCAAATTATTCCACTCCTTTGCTGTACATATTAAAAAAGTCGAAGTTAACCGTTTGGTTCTAATGCGTGGAATATCGACAACAAAGGGGTGAAGACTCGCCGAACGCTGGTCGTCCGATGGTGGAAAAGAGGGGGAGGAATTAAAGCGTGCAATTCCTGCGCACACTCTCCGAAATACATCCTATAGGCAGTGGCGAAGCTTCTATAGAAGCCGAAAAGCCGGGCTTGCCTTATCAAACTGAATCAATTACTAATATCAATCAATAATATCAACTAATAAAATAACTCGTAAATTGTTTCAAAATATTTCAAATTTCCCGCGCACTCCACTGTTCAACACAGGTCGACCGATGACCTCTTATTGCCTTTAGCGATACTGCTGCTAACATAAAATAACAAACGAGTTTTAATAGAGCGATTAGTTGTCTCTCTCACTCGCGTGGGCTTTTTACGGGGCTTTCGAGAAGACGATCGCTCTCTTTCTAACCTATGGCAAAATATTCTATAACGAAATATAACTACGATTGTATATATAGAAATTAGTATAGAGAGTTAATGCCAGGCTTTTGGAATGAAGCTGTCGAGAGCGGAGGCGCGCGGGCAATACGTTTACAAGTTCTTTTCACTTTTAAATGTTTATTTACTCTTTGTGTTTAGCGTAAGCGATTTTAATATTACGAGTTGAAAATTTATGCCTTTTTAAAGATTTTTTGTGAAACTGGAGGATAATAGTGTTCCTTGTGATGAATTGAAGTGTGTTAAAGTGCTAATCGGAGAGGAAAAGGTAAAATCTTTAAACTTTGTTGAGATAGTACACAAGGTCAAGAGTGTATTTCAGACTTGTCAATTATCGCAATTAAAAAACAGTTATTGGTGTAATTAAGACGTTCACCAACATTTTACGTGGACGTAATTAAATCTTTCCTTAAGGATGAGAGACGATTCCATTTAGAATGTAAATATTTTTTTTAATTTTGTACATAGTTTTTTTATACTTTGTTCATGTTTAATTTTTGTTCATGTATTGTATTGTATATAAATATCTTTTTCTTTCGTTCAAACAAACCCAAACGGCTTTCTTCAAAGCCACCGAAGTATAGGTAGGCCTTCTGTGTGCTTTGTTAAACACGTCCTTGACAGCACTGAATATGAAACTGAAGAGTGGTGACAGATCAAGATTGGTGTATTTTTATAAAACTGCTAAAACAACAATCTAAATTTTTATCAATTTATATCTTGGGCTTGCCCTAATTTGGAGCTCTAGCTTCGCCACTGCCTATAGGATACCGAGAGGCTGGCTACTCTGCGCCTGTGCTCGAGGCTGACGAGGTTGGTTTCAACAAAATCAAGGTCACCAATGAGCCTCTTAGCACGTCACTGCACTGAGTCTAACGCTGCTAGGTGGCATTTTGCAGCACCAGCCCATATGTAACTGCGTATAAAGTCTACGTAAGATACGTTGAAACAAGGCATCAAACTTTTCCTGTGCTAAAACTCTTTTAAAAAACAGAAAGTGACAAGTGCCTGCAGTCGGACGTATGTAGTCGGTAACTATGTTTTTTATATATTATGATCGGAGGCTTATTTAAAGTAACATTGATTGTTATATAAAAGATTATGACATTCTATTTTTTAATATCAAACTGAAGTGAAAAGTAACTTGCATTCTACCTTGCGATAGATTGCTTTTGCAGTATATAAATAAATAGAATCATTTTTATTCTACATAGGTTTCAAGAATTCTAATTGAAAATCATTTAATCTTTACCACTGGTTAGGAAAAAAAACTCTATCCCAAGAAGAACATTCCATAGACAGCTGCAGATATCTTTAAACAAAGAGGGATACAGATGCGTTGTCACATCTGAGGATTAAGATTAAATGCCTCACGGTCTGTAATATTATACCAACTATCTATACAATTCAGAACACACCTCCGGAACACAACAGTGCAAGCCATAGAATACATAGAATACATACGTACACATAGAATACATACGTAATAGAATGGGGGAGTGGGCGGAGCCCGCGTAGCCACTAAAATGTCACTAACACGTCAAGTCACACGTATAAATGTCAACACGAGATGTGTTTTGACGTTACAATCGTTTCCAAATTTCGCATGCAAATTATTTAGAAAATGCCATATTGCACCCTATTTACAAATAAATATGTATTAAAATTTAATGATGATCTTGAACATTAATCGAAGGTCTAAAATGTGTAAATTTATTCAGTCTGTCTACACAGCGAATCGGGTTTGGCGACGCCAATCCTCGTATAAAATAAAGTTGACTGCCATTCTATTGTGTATTATAGTATTCTAGCACTGCTACGAGGGCGGCACTGAAAATTTCGGGAATCAAGGAAGTGACACAACATTACTATTTAAAAATGTATTTATTGCTTTTCGAAGTATTCAGCGCGAAATTTAACACATTTTTCCATACGATGGAACCAATCATTGAAGCAACCATTCCATTCGGAAGTTGGGGTCTCCAAAATGGCCGTTTTTTAGGCGTCCACAGCTTCTTCAGGTGATGAAAATCTCTGTTCACGCAATTTATTCTTTATTTTAGGGAAAGTATAGAAATCATTAGGGCTTAGGTCGGGGCTGTATGGCGGATGGTCTAATAATTCTATGTTTTCTTGCTCTAAAAACTCTTTTGTTCTGTGTTCGGTGTGAGAACTCGCATTGTCGTGATGGAGGATGATGCGACGGTTGCAGTTCTCTTTACGGAGTTCAGAAACGACCTGTGGCAAACAAATGCTAGCATACCATTCTGCATTAACTGTTCTTCGTCCCTCAAGAGGAATAGTCGTAACATGGCCGGTTTTGGAGACAAACGTGGCCACCATTTTTTTGCAACACTCCGTGAACGATTTTTGTTGGCTTTAACTCATTTTCGAACACCCAAACTCGTGACTGGTTTTTTGTTGTGGGTTCGTACGCATATATCCAGGATTCGTTACCTGATATGATGTTGTATACAGCATTTGAGGATCCTGCGTGGAATCTTTCGAGAGTTCTGACGCACCAAGTAACGCGAGCCGCTTTTTGCTCCTTCACAGAGCGAATGCGGTATCCATCGGGAAAACAACTTTTTTACACCTAATTGTTCATGCAAGATTATTTGTATTTGACTCATGCCAATGTCTAAAGTTGCCTGAATTTCGCGGTATGTCACATGTCGATCTTCCTCAATTAGCTTACGCACAACATCAACATTTCCTTGGGTGACTGCAATTTTTAGACGACCTTGACGGGGATCATCACTGAGCTTGACACGTCCACGTTGAAATTCAGCAAATCAGCGATAAATTGTGGTTTTGGATGGGGATGCAGAAATCATCCTGTAAACACACTGTTTTTGTGTTAAACCACTTCGAAAGTCATAATAAATCATCGCTCTTGAATTTTCTAGTGTCAATTCCATTTTCTCAACGACTAAACAAGTTTGATAAAACCTTGTGACAAGACCGAGATTCTTTTTTAAATAAATAAATGGTATTCGATTTTTAAAACCAAAGAGTTTTCAATTAAAAAGATTTTAATACGACAGGAACAGTGGAAATATTCCATTCCCGATACTTTTAGTGCAGCCTAGTATTTGGCGAAAGAATTAAGTAAAATGGTTCTATGTATACAGGTGGACTTCCAGTTGAAGAAAGTGAACATGCCTTTGCTTTTGACAGATATCGGCTTAACCAAATTATTTAATTCCGACGTAAAATACTCAGAAGAGGTTAATGCTTAGCCATAAGTTACGTCGCTAACGGTCGAGCGTTCGAATTCCGCAAAGAACAAGTAATTGTATGACCTATAAAAACTTTTCCGGGTTGGATGTTTCTCCTTGTTAAATTTAAGTTTGTAAACTTCTTCTACACACGTAAGTTTCTTAGTTTTATTAGAAAAAATGTTAGTGTTAACGTAAAAAAAATTAAAGAAAGTTTATCTTTCTTTAATTTTTTAAGAAGAATAAGTATTAAAATCATCCACATCTACAGTCAGTTCTTCTAAACCTTCAACCGGTTACGTGCATTAGTTACAGTAAAGCATTACCATTTTAAAATGCATGTTATTTGATAATCTCTACTTTCTCTACGATTACAAGCAACGACGTCACTTACATCTTAAAACAAAATATTTCTCATGTCAGTTTATCATTTAAAATGCCTGTCGTCACGCAACGAGTCTTCAGATTATTTTTAAGTGTTATGGTTTGTCACTAACCAAATATATGCGTTCGGTTCTACAATTTATAATGCTGTTAGTTGAATAAAAATGGTTTTTATTGCAACGATTTAGAATTGCATTTCGATTAAATTGAAATGTACGGTCAGTGAAATAATTTAGCTGTTACATTGATTTTATTTGGTATAACTGTTGTTTCAAGTTTTCACTGGCTCGAATTCGGTGTAACAGAATGTGGCAGGGGCTGATTTATCGACCTGTTTAGCACCCGACCGTGCAGCGTGCTTCTGTCCGGGAGTAGGGGACCAGTTAACACATTTAGGTACATCACGTTTGAAATATTCGAGCGATTTAATTGCTTCCAAAGACAACAGACAAAGCTTAAGTCTTTGTCTCCATAATCGTATTTCTATACCTATTGGAAGTGTTTTTAAAACACAAAACGTCTAGTTTAATTATTAATAAACGTTTCTTTACTGTAAAAAGTTATACACTCCTTTTTATTAACAAATTAAATTTACAATCACAGAAACAATCATACGGTGAGTTCGTACAAATGCTTTATTTCATAATTAAACTTTAACTTTAACTTACTAATTTTTAATCAGCACAAAATCCACTGTTTTTTAATAAGAGGTAGAACTTTTTGTGAAGAAGTTTATGTACCTAGCTCATGGACTCTTTCTACCTCTGTCGCCAAGCAATAGGACGTGCACTGCTGTGTGTAAGTTTGAAGGCTAAGAGTAGGTCAATCTAATTTTATATAAAAAAAATTTTTTCGGCATGTAGTGTGACGTAAAGGTAATTTTTCACTTAACCAATATGATCCCCCGTGGGTTGTTTTTAAAGAATAAAGGTGACAAGCAAATACACAGTCTACGTAATAGTCAATGGATGCTTGTCACTTGTGGACGAAGATATTTCATCTTCTCCTCGCCTTGTTTCCACTTAAAATGGTATCTGTTTTTCAATACTCACCACACGAAGTACAGCAGCATTAATCTTCTATTTAAAGCTAGTACTGTGTGAGAGCGTGGTCTTTCCGTAGTCGAAAAATTTTAATATTACAGCTGCAGCTGGGCTCTGCTACGTAGCAACAGTAGAAAGTAAAACAGGAGATAATAGCAGCATCATTCTCTTAACAATTCACAATAATAATAAAAACTGCAGTTTCCAAATATGCCTGACAAGCGAGAGTTATGGCAAATAATAAAAAATAATTAATAAAAAACATTAACCAATTATAAAAAGTTATATACTTAATTAGAGCCGATTAGCTACATTAGTAGCACGAATAGATCGGTTCACCGGGATAAATTAGCAGCATGAGGTTGCTGTGTTTCGTATGTTGACTGTGGTGAACCGGAGATTCTTTTTCCTGGAAACGATGCATTCTATTTCAGTCCTCATGGGTGATAATGCATATGCATTTTTTTGGATGTCGGTTCAAAATGATTTTTGCCTTTACTACGGGTGTAACATTTTCTTGCTTGACAGATAGATATATAATCCCATTATGACATATCTTTTGTGGATTGAAAAAAAGTACGCATAAATACCCCAATAAATAACTGCACCTATCTCGTTCAAGATGTATAAACACCTGTTATTAAGAGGCCATGAGATCTTGGCATTTCCAATAGACTATTTCTACAACTCCCACGGATCAAAACAGGTTAATGGCAATAACAATAACATTATCCGGACTTAGCGGTCAGTGTTCTTACCTACTTAGTCACGGGTCTTAAATTTCGAACACTGTCATGGTCAATGTTTCATGAAAATCATATTAAGTTATTATTACTTGGAGTTCCGGATTTTGGTCTATTCAAATTTTTTTAAATAATTTTAGAGTTTTTTTGATAGAATTATGGTTACAAACTAACACATAGTCTACCTGATATTAAAAGGATATGGCCCACAGATATCTACATTATTTTATCCTCGATTAAGAATCGACATCCAGATACGTTGTCATCTTTGAGTACCTACTAATATGTAATGCTTCGTTTCCAGTAATAAGGGTCTCCGGAGTGATAACCGAGGTAGATGGATTAGATGATAATATAATAATGATGTATAAAATGCTACTGCAGCCTATACGTACCTGCAACTAACTTAAAAGTTAAATTCATTTTTGTATTTACTAGTAAACATAAGATGTCCTTAGAATGTAGAGTACAATATCTTGACAGACATTAGAGTATGGCCATGATAATTTGAAGTAATATGAATTTGAATGAAAATACACTGTTCCACTTTGTATAAAACTTGACAAACGACTCATCTAAACTTTGATTCTTAATCGTTGATTGATGCAAGTAGATATCTACTGGCGACAGCATCCACATACTATGAGGTGGACTGTGTGCTTGTTGGTCTCTCTTATTTTAAAGAATACGGTACAAAAGTCTTAGTAAATATTTTCAACCCACACAAAAATATCGGTGACATTTAATGCTTTCTAAGTAGGTTCCTATTTATAAATAAAATTAACACTATTCGGTATGACATGTTGCCATTTAAATAGTAAAAAAGGCGTGAGAGTCGGTTTATAAACGTGGGTGTCGCATTTCCTTCAGGCCTATGTGTAGTATAAATATTTTATTGCAAGACAAATCAAATATTTTTATTTATATGGTTATAATAATAAATATGCTTTGGAAATATTTAGTTACTTGTACGTTCTTTAACAATTTGTAAATTTATGAGGATGGATCAGCCAAACAACTTGCTGATAGTGGCTATAATAGCATATTTACTTACTTATAAAGAGAGAGAGAAAGACAGACAGAGAGAGAGAGAGAGAGAGAGAGAGAGAGAGACAGAGAGAGAGAAAGAGAGTGCGAGAATAAATAAATATGTAGTGCTTGTATATTATTGAAATAACAAAGTCCACCGCTGACAAAGGCCTCCCCTTTAGATCATGTGGGGAGGGGAGTATTTGCTATAGTTGTTACGCTTGGCAAGCAGGTCTTCAACCGCAGTTTTTTATTTTTAGACGATATCAGGAAGACGCTGCTGCCCATCTTCTGATTTGTTTCCCTCTGTCGCCTCTTACGACAGCCGCCGGAGCAGTACATTGTATTGAGTAGTGGGTGTTCTTACACCGCCACTACCCAGTGAATAGCTACAACCAGCTTCAAATAAAGATATCTATAAATACATTATCAATTCTTCGCTTATATATGAGTAATAGCACCCTATACCGTTAGACCGGAACAAATCAGTGCACTGACTGCTAACTGACGGCTGAAATAGGTGAGAGGGTTGTATTTAGTCAGAGTCAGACGGACTCCTAGGCGGAAGATTAACTTTTTCAAACCTTATAAAGATAAGTTATTCAATATATGAGTTATAAATAGCTATTCACGGTTTGCCTTGTCATAAAATATATGTTTTATAAATAAAACTGACAAGGGCAATCCCAACATGACGCCAGTTAGCCTCTAGGGAAAAATTTCAGGTTACGGAATTATAACTTATGTTTTCACATTATTTACGTGTGAAAGCTTTTGCTAGTTTGAAATGCCATCTGTAACAATTATTAATAATTATGTTACAATATTAATAATATTTTTAATTCCAATTTAAAATAAGTTCTCAATATTATGTATTACTAAATTTACACAGTTAAATATTTTTCAATCAATAAGTTGCATCACCATTTTTACTATTAGGTGGATCAGAGCGAAGTAGTCAAGGATTGTTTTGGAATAATTTTAAGTTTAGGATTATAAGGCAGATGGCTTATTTATTTAACAATTTATGTACACACGAAGTAATGTTACAATGAAAAATAAAAAGATAATTTGTACAAAGGCACTGCTTATTTCATATTGAAATTTCTTCCAGCAGTCCTGATACTGGACAGATTCTAAGAGAAGCAGATTTAGTGTGTACTCTCATAATAAATTTTATAATATTAATATAAAATAAAGATGGTAAAATAGGGGTTTTATAACATCAAACAATACCGTAATAAAAATAACTCACTAGATAGGATATAATTATGACAAATAATTATTCTAAAACAGGTAAAAGATGCTAATTACTGGATTCCCTAACGCTACTGCCACACGTTTTATGTTCATAGCATCGATAGGAGGATAACATTTTCTAGCACAAGTAAAAACAAGGTAATATATATATATATATATATATATATATATATATATATATATATATATATATATATATATATATATATATATATATATATATATATATATATATATATATATATATATATATATATATATATATATATATATACTTAACCGATTTTAATATCAAATTTGCACACCGTGTGCAGTTTGGTCCAACTTGAGAGATAGGATAGTTTTTTGCCCATGATTGACCCATAATTGTTTTTTTTTGCGATTTTTTTTAATAGGACATGACAAAGGCTCGTCGAAAAGAACAAATTCTGCTTGGCAAGCTAGTATATAACATAACATAAACATAAACACTCACGCCTGTCACCCAGAGGGGTAGGCAGAGATTACGGACTTCCATTTGGCACGATCCTGACATACCTCTTTCGCCTCC